TGTGATGTTACCTCCCGCGAGGTAAAGTTACCTCAGCTGAGGTAAAGTGATCTCACCTGAAGTAATTTTACTTTACCTGACGTAATTTTACCTTTGCCTGAGGTAATGTTACCTCGACCTAACGTTATATTACATCGCTTGAGGTAAAGTTACCTCACGTGAGGTAAAGTTACCTCGCCTTCCATTGCATTCCGATTACCTTACCCTGAGGTAATAATCGCGCGTTAATTGTGTTTAACGATTTAACTACGTGAGAATATTACGATATGAGCATTAGCTGAAGTGATGTGAATACGTTAGGATTACCTCATATAATGTTACATTTATCTGAGGTAAATTTACCTCACTTAAGGTCAAGTTACCTCTATCTGAGGTCAAGATACCTCACCTGAGGTGACATTAACTAACCTGGGGTAATGTTTCCTCTCCCTGAGGTAAAGTTACCTCAGATAGTGTTACCTCGCCGAAGGTAAAATTACGTCACCCGAGGTAAATTGACCTCACTTAAGGTCAAGTTACCTCACCTGAGGTAAATTAAACTAACGTGGGGTTCTGTGACCTCTGCCTAAGGTAAAGTTACTTCACCTGAAGTCATTTTACTTCAGCTAAGGTAATCTTACCTCGCATGTGGTAAAGTTACCCCATTTGAGATAATGTTACCTTACCTGAGGTAATTGTACCTCTGCCTGAGGTAAAGTTACCTCACCTGAAGTAATTTTACTTCACCTAAGGTAATGTTACCTCGCATGAAGTGAAGTTACCTCATCTGAGGTAACTTTATCGTTATATTACATCACTTGAGGTAAAGTTACATCACCTGAAGTAAAGTTACCTCTACCTAATGTAATGTTACTTCACTTGAGGTAAAGTTACGTCACCTGAGGTAAAGTTACTTCGCCTGAGGTAAAGTTACCTCTACCTGAGGTAATGGTACCTCTATCTGAGGTAACGTTACCTCACCTGAGGTAAAGTAACCTCAGGTGAAGTAAAGTTACTTCTATTTGAGGTAAATTTACATCACCTGAGGTAAAGTTATATCACCTGAGGTAATGTTATCTCGCCTGAGGTAAAGTTATCTCCATGTGAGGTAAAGTTATTTCGCCTGATGTAGTTACCTCAGGTGAAGTAAAGTGACGTCTATCCGACGTAAGGTTACCTCACCTGAGGTAATGTTACTTTACCTCGGATAGAGGTAACTTTACCTCTACCTGAAGTAAAGTTACCTCACCTGAGGAAAAGCTACTTCACCTGAGGTAAAGTTACCTCTATCTGATGTAATGTTACCTCACTTGAGCTAACTTTGCGACTCCGATAATTAACAGGACCCTGCGGGGTGGGCTGGTAGGAATAATACTAATACCGGTACAGTGATATCGACCGGGTATAGAGGAGTTAAAAAGAAAATGATTTGTGCATGGGGGGTGAGCGATGACGTCACATCCCCCTCCCCGCTGACTCGCGCGCCCACAGAGCGATGACCGTCACATCCCCTCCCCACTGACTCGCGCGCACACAGCGATGACGTCAACACCCCCCTCCCCACTGACTCGCGCGCACACAGAGCGATGACGTCAACACCCCCCTTCCCCACTGACTCGCGCGCACACAGAGCGATGACGTCACACCCCCCTCCCCACTGACTCGCGCGCACACAGAGCGATGACGTCAACACCCCCTACCCACTGACTCGCGCGCACACAGAGCGATGACGTCACACCCCCCTCCCCACTGACCTCGCGCGCACACAGAGCGAGGACGTCACACCCCCCTACCCATGACTCAGCGCGCACACAGAGCGATGACGTCACACCCCCCCTCCCCACTGACTCGCGCGCACACAGAGCGATGACGTCAACACCCCCCTCCCCACTGACTCGCGCGCACACAGAGCGATGACGTCAAACACCCCCCCTCCCCACTGACTCGCGCGCACACAGAGCGATGACGTCAACACCCCCCTCCCCACTGACTCGCGCGCACACAGAGCGATGACGTCAACACCCCCTCCCCACTGACTCGCGCGCACACAGAGCGATGACGTCAACACCCCCCTCCCCACTGACTCGCGCGCACACAGAGCGAAGACGTCACACCCCCCTCCCCACTGACTCGCGCGCACACAGAGCGATGACGTCAACAACCCCCCTCCCCACTGACTCGCGCGCACACAGAGCGATGACGTCAACACCCCCCTCCCCACTGACTCCGCGCGCACACAGAGCCGATGACGTCAACACCCCCTCCCCACTGACTCGCGCGCACACAGAGCGATGACGTCACACCCCCCGCCCCACTGACTCGCGCGCACCACAGAGCG